CTCCTCCTCATCATCGGGTTTCCTCCTCCTCCTCCTCCTCCTCCTCCTGCTGCTCCTGCTCCGCGACCGAGCTTCCGCATGGGGCTTTCGTTCCTCCCCCCACTTGCAGCACAAGAGTGGCACACTTCGTTGCGACGCCCGCTCCGGCAGCTCTGTCGGGCCTGCGATCTGCTTCGCGCCTCTTGAATGCCCCCGCCTCTCCGAGGCAATTTTGAAGCCACTTACGGCCTCCTGGGGGCCGTTTGGGGGTCTCTTGGGGTTTCGTTTTGGTTTCCTGGGGGCCTCTTGGGGCCCTTTTGGCTGCCTCTTGGACCGTTTCGGGGCCTTCTGGGGCCAGCTTGGGTGCCTCTTGGGCTGTCTTGGGGCGGTGCTTGGCCGTCCTGGGTCGCTCTTCGGGCTGTGTTGGGTGCCTCTTGGGCCGTCTTGGGCGTCTGCTGTGCCGTCGTGGAACCGTATTGCGCCGCCTTGGGGTCCTCTTGGAAACCTGTTGGGCCGTCGTGGAGCGATCTGAATGGATCCTGGAACTGTCTGAGGCCATTTTGGCCCAACATGGCGAGAGCATGAAAATCCTGAAAAACCCAGGCGAAATCGATGATTTTTGCCGCTGGGGGCCGTTAGCAAAGTTCTCATGGGCCGTTTAGAGGCCCCTGGGCCTGTTTTCGGGCCCTCTCAAACCGCCCTGGGGTTCGCTGGGGTCCTCTGAGGCAGTCGGGGCAGCCTCGGATGCTGATAAAGACTCCGCGGACGGAAGCCTTCTCAAGGACAAGCGGAGCTCCCGAAAGCTTCGACCAGCCTCGGCGAGGCTGGCCCAAATCCACTCGACATGGCTTCCCGGGCCAGACTCCTTCTGGAGTCCGAAGATCTACTGCGCCGCGCCCAGCCGCGACGACGAGGAGGGCCCTCGAGGGCCAGAAAACGTCGAACCTCGACGCTGACCGCAGCGTGGAGATGACGACGGCGGCGGCGGCGGCAGCGGCTGGGACGGCGGCGGCAGGAGCAGGGGTCTGGGCAGGGGCAGGAGAAAAACTATGGATGGAAGGCCTGAACGTTGGAGGCTTGAAAAAATGGGCACCAACACCAAGACAAGGGGGCTGCCTCCACAGGGGGGAGATTATCCTAGATTTCGATGTTGGTGGTAATATTTCGGCCACCTTGGAAGCCAAAATATTACCACCATCACCGAGATCGGGACCTTTCTTCCCTCGGTGGAGGAACAGCGCCGATATTGGTGTTGGTGTCAATCTCTAGGCCTGCGAGAACGGAAGACAGGAGAGAGAGAGAGAGAGGCGATGCAAGAGAGGAGGAATGCGGCGCCTGGGCATCTCCCAGGTGAACCACATGGAGAGTCACTCCACCGTCCCATCGCCGGACCCCCCGTACACCTGGGCGCCTGAGCCGCCTCTGAGCGGCCGCAATGCAGGGCTCGAGGGCACGAGGGAAGGGAACGTCGTGGGCCGCGACGCTCGTCATCCCCGCGGACGAGCGCGCCTCGCAAGTGCCACGAAAGACAAGCATCCAAGGCCCTCGGAGCGTGAAAAACATGCGCCTGGGCATGCGATAAGCCTCTCGCCTCTCGTCCGCTACCCCCCACTGATAGATGCAATTTTGAAGCCTCTCGGGGCCTGCCAGGGGCCATTTGGGGTTCTCTTGGGGCTTCTTTTAGGCGTCTTGGGGGCCTCCCGGGGCATCTCGCGGCCCTCTTGGGCTATCTTGGGCCATCCCGGGGCGTCTTGGGCCTTCTTGACCCGTTTTGGGGCCGTCTGGGCCGTCTTGGCGCCGCTCTTGGGACTCCCTTGGAATCCTCTGGGGCCGTCTTGGGTGTGCCCCGTGGATTTTTCTTGGGTCTCCTTGGGCCGTCTTGGGGCCCTCTTGGGGGCCTCCTGGGGCGTTCCGGGGCAGTCTGAAGGGGTGTGCAGGGCCGTCATGGACGCTGTGAAGAGTAGGGAGCCCACAAAGGACGTACGCGCCCAGCTATGTACATGAACACGGCCCCTTGACCCGCGAGACTGGCCGCGTGATACGAGTATTCGCGCAATGCGAAATCTCGAAAGCAGCGTGGATTCATGTACGTGTACGTCCTTCTTTCGCTCCTGAGAGGGCAAGCGGAAAACCCCAAATGCATATTTTCCAGCAGGAATGGGACGCTTGTTGCCTCTTGGGGCCCTCTCGGGGGTCCTGTCGGAACCCTCTTGGAGCGGCTTTCGGGGCTCTTGGCCCGCCGTGGGGCCATCTCGGGCGCCTCGGAGCGCTCTCGGGACCGTCTTGAGGCCCTCAATGCGGCCGTGTTTGGGCACCTTGGGCCCCTCCGGAACCGTCGCGGGGCCTCGTGGGGCCGGGAGGAGCCGAACAAGCCCACTTGATCCACAGGATCTTCTGGCACGAGCGGGTGCCTGCACTGTATGAGAGACTAGCGTGACCTGTGGGTTAAACAATCCACGCGGGCTAGCAGCCGAGAGGGGCTTCCTGGAGCCGCCTTGGAGCCCCGGGTGGGCTTCTTGGGCCCGCCTAAGCGCCTTTGGGGGCACCATGGGGCTGTCTCGGAGCCGTTTTGGAGTTCTCTGCGGCCGTCCTGGGAGGGCACCTTGAGGCCCCCGTCTTGGATCGTATCACGGGACTCCGTGGGGGGCCTCTTGGGTCGTCTTGTCGCCCCCAGGCTGTCTTGGTAGCCTGAGTTGCCCTGAGTGGGCCTGGGACGGTCTTGGGACCATCTTGCGGTCGTGTTGGGCTGTCTTGGGAGATTGTTGGGAACTCAGGGACCGTTGGTGGCGCTCGGAGCCAAGTCACAAGAGAACCTAAACGAGTAGAACACGTAATTTGTGGGGTCTCTGCGGGGCACATCGAGGACCTATCATGTTGCTGGCGCGCACTGTTCGACCATCTTGGAGACATCTCGGGCCGTCTTCGGGGGCTCCTGGAACCCTCTGGGGCAATCTCAGGGGACCCTTCGGGGCTTGCGCACGCCCTCCAAAGCCCTGTGGTGCGGATTCTTCCATGTTGCCAGCTCGCACTCGCAGGCCCCTGTATACTGAGTAAGATTGCGTTGGGCTCCAATCTCGCCGCCAACAACTCGCCGAGCAACAGCAACGCCACCCGCCATTGTCCACATGTGCCGGCTGCGCTGATCGCAGCACTGTAGCTGATGATGTTAGGCTGACACTTAGCAGTCGACATTGCCCCGAGTAACAAACAGGCCCGCTGCCACTGTCCCGCCTTGTCGCAAACACTGATCCCAGCGCTGTAGGTGATGACCGCAGGTTCCAAATTCGTATCCCGCATCTCTTTGAGCAACGCCAATGCCACCTGCCACTGCCCGCCGTTTCTACACGCACTGATCCCAGCGTTGAAGCTGACTAGGGTCTGACACGTGGACCCCGTCCACGTTTGCTTGCCGACCCTCGGCGCGCCTGGGCAAAGGGCGAAAGCCCACCTGCCTGAGGAACCATTCTCAACGGTCCGTTGAAAAAGATGTGCTCCTGAAACCTTCAACATTCTGACAACAGAATAACGGCCAGCGCTGTGTCTGGAGACGTGCGTCATGCGGCCAGACGTTTCCGGGAGGTGACGAGGGGGGAATCAGGGAAGGGAGGCGTATGACGTGTAGAAGAATAGTGAGGACCAGGAAGGATTGCCGCCTGGCACCCTGGCAGGCTCCCCGCACGCACAAACACGACATCGCAATGCCATACAGGCGCGCAGCCGGAGGGCTGCTGCACAAGTTCACCAATGGTTTCACTCACGAAGTGCAGAGGGGCGCGCGCACAATGGACAGCACGATGTGTCCTCTTTCGGGGTGAAGCGGGGCGCACCTGGCTGTAGTGTGTCCGTGTGCGTGTGCGTGTGCGTGTGCGTGTGCGTGTGTGCGTGTTGTGTGTGTGTGTGTGTGCGTGTGCGTGTGCGTGTGCGTGTGCGTGTGCGTGTGCGTGTGCGCATGCGTGTGCGTGTGCGTGTGCGTGTGCGCGTGCGCGTGTGTGTGCGTGTTGTGTGTGTGTGTGTGTCTGTGGGTGTGCGCGTGCGCGTGCGTGTGCGTTTTCGTGTGCGCGTGTGTGTGCGTGCGTGGATGGATGGGTGGGGTGGGGGACAGGGAGGGGGCTTGAGGGGGCTTGCATCGGCACGCGCGCGAAAAATTGTCTACATGGAGTGGTCCAGGGAAACTAGAGAACGTAACATCAACACCAGGCGACAGGGGGGGAGGAACGAAGGAGAAGAGGGCCATATCGGGTGACGTCTTGGGTCTCGAAGTCACCAGCGGCTTCGAGGGTGAGGGGGCATGCCTCTGGGCGGGGCGTATCAACACGCACCCCCCCCTGGCCCTCTCACGCGATCGGCCGACGATGGCACCGGGGAAGCTGCAAGGCGCCCCAGGACGACCAAAAAACGAATCCTCGAAAGCGGAAAAAATTGCAAGACGACCACCAGATCCGACCAGACAGCCCCGCTCTACCGAGCCTCTTCGAAAAAGCTCGGTAGAACGCACACCCTTGAACAGCCCTGAGGCCCTCAACTAGTCCGTAAGAGACCCTCCAGAAGCCTTCAAGATGCCTCCGAGAGGGCCCATATAGGACCAAAAGAAGGCCCCCCCAAACATGCCGCCTTTACGCCACGCCGCACACTGCATCGTTGCGTGGCGCTGCTTCGGTGACGGCCCCAGTATGGTTCTGAGGAGCCCGTTGGGAGGGCAATTCGAACTATCCTGCATGTATTCCGGTGCTGCGCTGGCACGGTGGCTGAATTTACACAGGCAGCTGGATATCGGGGAGAAGGCGCGGTAGAGGACGTAAAGGAGAGGAACCAGAGAGTTGCGAGGTATGGCTTCCCCCCCAACGCTTGTCGTCGCGTGAGCCTACTAGCTCCCACCCTGGACCATCTTTGCTCGTCGCGGGTCGCCCAGCACGGTCTTGGAGCTCAACTGGGGCCGTGCCATCTGCAGCTGTCCTTCGGCTGCTGGATTGGAGAGGACGCGCGAGAGGTACGAGACCCTGCCGCGGGCCACACTGCCGGAAGGATGTGCGAAGGCAGGGGCCCAGCAACATAGGACGCCCGGGCACCCCTGCCTTTGCAGACTCAGCCTACTGATCAAACTCCGCCCGCCTGCTTGCGAGCCCGCCCGACCGCTCGAACGTCCCGCCCGCCCCGCCCGTTGGGGCCCGCCCGCCCGCCCCGTCGGGATGCGCCTGGCCCGGCCCGACCCAGACGCCCGAGCGACGGCCCGCCCCATCGACCCGCCCGCCCCCGTCTCGGAGCACCCCCGGCACGGCCCGACCCCTCTCCACCTGGGCCGCCTCTCGCCGAGCCCGCAGCACCCGGGGAGGCTCCGCGATCCGCCTGGGGCGCCCGAGGCCACGCGGCCCTCCCCGCGAGGGGCGCCAGGGATCGGCGCGGGCCGCCTCCGCGCCAACGCTGATCCCTGCTGGGCTGGGCCGGGGGGGGGGCTCTCCGGCCCGCTCGGGGGTCCTGGCTCTCCGGCCTGGTGGAGCCCAGGTCTGCGCGAGACCGTTCCGTGGCATGGCATTGGAGGGGGCGGCCCTGAAGCCCACCCAGGAGGCCGGGGCTCGTCGGCCCGCCCGTCCCGTGGGCCTTGGGGCTGACTCGGTTGGTGGCGCCGAGGTCTGCGCGAGGCTGCTCTGTGGCATGGCCTTGGAGGGGACGGTCTTGAGGCCCTCCCAGGGTCGTCTAGGATCTTGGGGGCTCTGGGGTGGAGGAAGTGGCCGAGAAGATGATTCAAGTTTCTGAGCGGTGGTGTGGCCCCTCCTGGTCTCTTGGAGATCTCACGGGGGATGGAGGGGCGGGGGGCAAAACCGCTGGTGACGGAGCGGGGGGTCGTCTTGGAGATCCCCTGCGCCAAGCCACGTGCGGGCCACCTGAAGCCCGCTGTGGGGACTCTTGGGGCCGTGTGGATGATGCGCCCCAGCGAGGCTGCTGCGCCCTGGGGGAGGCGGCTCCGCCGCAGAGTGCCGAACGCTTGCTCGCGCGAGCTCGACCTAGAATCATACCAAAAATGATGTCGGGCTCCAGCTTCGCATCCCGCATCTCGCCAAGCAGGGACAGGCCCTGCGGCCATTGCCCACCCTGCTCGCACGCACTGATCGCAGCGTTGTAGCTGAGGACTCCTGGCGTCAACTTCGAACATGGCATCTCGCGAAGTAACGCTAAAGTCTTCTGCCACTGTTCGCCCTTTTCGCATGCGCTGATCCCAGCATTGTAACTGATGGCAGTGACGCGTACATTGGCTTCGCGCATGTCGCCGAGCAACGATAATGCCCGCTGCCACTCATCGCCCTTCTGGCACGCGCTGATCCCAGCATTGTAGCTGACTATTGTGATCCCGTGGATTAAATCCACGGTGTGCTGAACCTGGGACTCACACACCGTGCGTGAACAGCTCATCGAAGTTGAACAGCTCGGTCGTCCCTGGGACAGTGTCGGGACCGTCTTGGGGCCGTCGTGCCAGAGGGCACGAAGAGGGCCCCCAGAGGGCCCCAAGAGGGCTCCCAGAGGGCCCCAGGACGCCGCTGGGCGCGGGCCCACCATTCTGCCACGAGAGGCCTTTTTGTGTGGCAGAATGCACCTGGCCTGGCCCTGTCTTGGAGGGGCCCGAAGGCCCCAAGAGGGCCGCAAAAGCGCCCCCAGGGGACCTAAAGAGGGCCCCAAACCGCATGTACTTGATATGCTTCTTGGGCTTGCGAGAGAGGCACCCAAGTACATGCGTCATGGGGCCTTGTCGGAGCCCTCTTGGGGCCCTCCTGGCTCCCTCTTGGGGCCCCTCGGGAGCGCTCCCACCCTGTCCTGGCCCCCTCTTGGGGTGGCCATGTGCGCCTGGGGAGCCGCGCTGGCGCAGTCTTGAGCCGTCATGGGGCCCTCCTGGCAGCCTCCTGAGGCGTCCTGGGACCACCTTGAGGGCCTGTCTGGCCGTCTCGGACGCGTCGAGGACGAAAAGCACGGGAATTCCTGAAATCTACGTTTCCCCCAGGGTTGGGACGATGTTTCCTTGTTCGGGCTCTCCTGGGGATGGTTCTCTCTAGAGCCCAGTGGGATCGTTTTGGTGGCCTCTTGGGCCGTCGGGCGGCTGTCTTGGGCGTCTTCGAGCGCTCGGGGCCCGTCTCGGAGGCCCTCTTGGACGGTCTGCGGCTGGCAGCGGGCCGAGGCGGGCCGATGCCGCCGGGCCCTCTTTCCGCACGCGCTGATGCTGGTACTGTATTGTCTGGACTATAGGGCTGGCCCGTGGACTACAGCTCCACGACGCCTGCTCGAGGTGGCAAGAGGCGCCTCGGCAAGCGCGCCTGCTTCTGCCCGATGCCCCTTACAACCGCTGGGGCGCCTCTTCGTCGTCCTTCCCCCTCCCTCCTGTGCCGGCACGCGTTTGGCGTGTCTCGTGTTCTCCTTGGCGCATGTTTGGCGCGTCAGCTCTCCCGCGCTCTCGCACGCATTTGGCGTGTCTGCCCACGCGGCCAGACGGGCGCAGGGCTTCGTGGTGGTGGTGGTGGGGCGCCTCTTCGAAGCCCTTTCAGCCTCTTGGGGGCCTCTGGGGGCCGCGCTGGGCGCCTCGTGGGGCCGTCGTGGGGCCGTCGTCGTAGGGCCCTCGGGGGGGGCCGCCGAGGCCAAGCTCGGCAGCGCCAGGGCCAGCTGCCACGCTCGGGCCCCCGCCCAGAAGAGTCACCCCGAGGCCTCCGGCGACCTGCTTCCCAGCCGCCTCTCCGAAACCGCCTCTGGCCATCGCTCGGACGTCCATTCCCTGTGCTTTTTATGGTTTCGTGCGACGTTTTTTCGCCCAAATGATCAAGGATGCTCCTCGATGGTTATCATCTCCGAAGGAAAAATGCACACGTCCGAGCGATGCCAAGTCCGGCGGCCTGCTTCCCAGCCGCCTCTCCGAAGCCGCCCCTGGGGCGCAAGACGTCCCCCCGGAGGTTCCGGCGACTTCTTCTTCCCTGCCGCCTCTCCGAAGCCTGCCGGGGGCGCTCGCTCCACGTCTGGAAGCTTCCCAGGGCTTCTCTCCGGCCTCCTGGGAGGGCTCTTGCGGCCCTTTGGGGTTGTCCCTGGGTGGCCCTGGGGCCGTTTCGGGGCCGTCCTGGGTGCCTCAGGGGCAGTCTTGGGAACGTCTTTGGTCCGTCTGTGACTTTCATTAGGGCTGTCTTGGGTGCGTCTTGGGCCGTCATGGGCGCCTCAGGAGCCGTCCTGGGGTCGTGTTGGGTTGTCTTGGGGCCCTCATGGGGGCCTTCTGCGGCGACCTTGGGGGCGAATTTTCCTTGTTCGGGCTCGCTTGGGGCTCGTCTTGGAGCCCACTTGGAGCGTTTGGGGGGCCTCTTGGACCGTTTGGAGGCAATCGTTCGCGTCTTCGAGCGTCTTGGACCGTCTCCAAGGCTCTCTTGGACCGTCTTGGGGCCCTCTTGGGGGCCTCTGGGAGCGTCTCGGAGCGAGCTTGGACCCCCTGGGAACGTCCCCGGGTCTCCTGGGGCTCGCAGGGGCCGCCGGGGCGCTTTACTGGGCCCCGCCGTCTTCGCGCGCGCGGGGCCCTGCACAGTGTAGTAGAGACCTAGGCTAACCTGCGGCCTACCAGCCACAAAACCTGACCGAGATGGCACGCTGGACCAACGCAGCCGAAAGGCTGCCGTGTTGACGCTGGGCACGAACATCGTCTCTGGTGTTGCTGCCTGCAGCTGCAGGGCGGTGTTGCCTGCAGCATGTTGCTTGTGCCGCTTCAGTTTGCAGTGCTGCCGCTGCCTGCTGCGGACTGATGGTACTCGCTGTTGCTGCTTGAGGCTGCAGAGTGCTGCTTCTTGGTCACTGCCTACCCTTTCTAGATAACGCAACCTGCAGCTCGTGAGTGGAGCGAGAAGCGAGGAGCAAGGAGCGAGGAGTCAGGATCGAGTGGGGAGGTGTGGCAAGTGAGGAGCGTTCAGCGAAGAGTTCGAAGGGAGAGGGGAGTAGCGACGGCCGAAGAGACAGAGAGAGAGAGATGGACGGGGAGGGATGGTGGAGAGCCGAAGAGGAGGAGGCAGACGCCAGCGGCCAGAAGGGAGAGGCGAGAGGCCAGGAGAGAGGTGGAAGGAGCGAGGAGTGAGAAGGGAAGAGCCAGGAGTGAAGAGAGGGAGGCGAGGAGCGAGGAGAGAGCCGGGAGGAGCGAGGAGCGTGGAGCGAGGAGTGAACAGGGAGGCATAAGGAGAGGCCAGCACACGCGTGGCTCAGTGGCCTTTGCGAGCGTGTGGCCGATTACCTGATCTCCTCCTGGGTCGCCCGTAGGCCTCTCCTGGGTGGCCGGCACGGTCCCAGAGCCCTCTACGGAAGGGATCTTCCCTCGGAAGCTGCTTGGAGGCGGTTCTTGGCGTGTCTCGGGGCCTCTCGGGGCCTCCTGGGGACCTCTTGGAGCCTGACTTGGGCCTCCTGCTGGAGATTCTGGGGAGGCCTCTTGGAGGCCTGCTGGCAGTCTCGGAGATCATCTTGGGGCGGAGGGTGCGAAATGCCAGCTCCGATTCCCCTTCGTAGGGCCCTAGTGGATCCGTATCGAATCCGTGTTGGGGCCGTCTTGGACCGTCTTGGGAATTCCTTGGGCCGTCTCAGGGCCCCCTTGGGCTGTCCGGGGGCCCTCCTGGGGGCCCATCGGAGGCCAGAAGAATGAAGACCGTCTAAACCCTTGAAAAAAGCAATGGATAATCAATGACTTTGGTCTCGTCGGACCGTCGTCGGGGTCCTCCTGGGCTGTCGCGGAACCCTCCTTGCCTTTCACCGGGCGCTCTAGCGCCGTTCTAGGGCACCATTCGGGTCATCTGAGCCGGTTTGAAGCAATCTTGGGCTTCTTGGGGCCATGCTGGCCTCTCCATAGCCTTTCTTGACGCCCCCTGAGGCTATCTGGGTGCGCCCAGACGCTCCTACCCCCAATCAGTCCGCAAACCCTTCTCGCACGCACTCGCCCAAGAATTATAGAGATGATGACTAGGGCTAACCCGTAGATTCCATCCACGTCAACCATCAAGTCCAGCGTGTGCGTGTTGTTCTCTGTTCATTTGGACTGATTGCTGCCAGGGCGGCGTGCGAACAATTTGCCTTCTTGTATTGATTTGTTGCTTGCGTCCTGCTTGCTTACTTGCTTGCTGCTTGCTTGAAGTATTCATTGCTGATTGCTGCTGCTGCTGCTGCTGCCTGCTGCCAGAAGTGTAATGGGGCTCTCAAAGGCTGAATCTTGGCCTTCTCGTGACTTCCTTGGGGCTTCTCGGGCTACCTTTCAACCATGGAGCCCGGGTGGGACTGCGGGTTGTATCTGAGGGGGCGTCTTGGGCCACCCTTGGATGACCTTGAGCCGCCTTGCATATTAGCGCCAAGGTTGAAAATGAACGAGCGCATGCGTGTCTCATTTCTCTAACGACTTCCCGTCGTCGCCGTGGCCTCCAGATGAGGTCGAAAGAGGCGCGCCGGCTGCATAGGCTCTGAAGAAAGCAGAGGACACTGCGAAGCATGCCTCCAATGGCTGGCGGGTTCGGAGCAACCTCAAAAAAACTCCCCGACGGGTCGCCCATTCTCAGACCGGAGCCGATCCAAAGAAGGACAACAGGAAACGCATGATTGGGGGAAGCCTTTGGGAATCAGTCGATCGCGATAACTCTTTAGAACCCCTCCCCCCGATAGTGGGTAACTAATGATTTATCTTGTTGGAGGACAGGGGTCCCACCAATGGGGGGTAACAAATTATTTTGTTCCACGGTATCCGCCGCGCAACAACGACGACGACAACTACGATTCCGATTGCGACTACGACTACGACAACAACTACTACTGATGCCTCAGGAACGCTCTCACGGAAAATCCGGGCTCAGAACCTAGAAACTCTATCCTCAGAAGCTCCATCCTCATGAGGAGAAGGAGGAGGGGGAGATGGGGAAGGAGGAGGAAGAGTTTTTAGGACCAGTCCTATTCACCGCCGAGTGAACAGGGGGGGCGATCAACACTGAAGACCTCCTGAGGTTCAGCAGGGAGTGTTGGTCTTTGCCGCCTTTCTCGTACGCGCCACGTGCGGTATGACGCATGACAGAAAAGATGACGTTGGGCTCCAACTTAACATGGCTCATCTCACTGAGCAACGACAGCGCTTGCCGCCACTGCCCGCCCTTCTCGCACGCGCTGATCCCGGCGCTGTAACTGACCAGCGTGAACGTGGATCACCGTCAACGCAAACTTACTCGCACGCAAGGGAGAGCATTGCAATGCGCACGGCAAACGCGGTATCCGGAAAGACAAACTGGATCACGACACGGCACAACCGACGCATGGCGAAAAAGAACACCAAACAGATCCAGCTTGTTCGCGACACGGCTTTGCGCAGCCATTGAGAAGCGATAAAGGCAGGTCGACTGCGACACAGACCTTGAGGCACCAACGCACACGTGGAGCTCCGACCAAGAACGGACGCCTGTGAAAACGAGGGACGACCATACAGCATGAACGCATGAATGGCCAACCGTAGGGCACCGACCGTGAACAACCGGCTGCGACCCCGATGGCCAACCAAAGGTACCAACGCGTAAAGCACCAACCATAGGGTTCCAACCAGTGCGTTAAGCAGATTTCGACCCCAATGCCCGACCGTAATGCACCAACGCGCAGGGCATCAGCCACGGAGCACCTACCAGGAACGACCGACTGCGACTCCGTGGGTCAACTTCTGCGGCGACTAATGGGAGCCTCCCATACCATATTGTTGGCTCTTGCGGATCGACGCTAATCGACGCTGGTCGACGCTACTCGGCGCTAGCCGATGCTGGCCGACGGTCATCGACGCTACATCGGCGATACCTCATCGACTACCAGACGCAATCGACGCTGAGGATGGGGTGAAGAAGGTGTACGAGGCAACCAAGAGTTGCTACCCAAGGTCAACACTGAGGCACCAACGCAGAATGCACCAGCCACAGACTGGGAAAGGCCGACTGCGACCACGCGGGCCATTTTTTTCTTAAGCAGGGTATCCAGCCCTCAGCGCAAGCACTGGCAAAGATCCCTGTGTGGAAGAACTGCCTGGGGCAAATCAAGTCAAGGCATTCGCGTCGGGGCATGTCGGACATGGCACATCATGTCAGAATATGCCACAGAGGCAACGGCACCAGAGAGGACAGCCAAGTTCCCGGTCGATGCTGATTGCTGCAACCTGGTGCTGCTTTATGCTGTTTGCTGCTGTTTGATTGCTGCTGCTGGTTCCCGAGGTTGCGTACTGCTCTCTGGGACTGACAAAACGCATTTTAGCAAAACACCTATTAGAGAAAACGTGTGCACGGCACCACATGTCGAATGCTCCCTGGCGGAATCACTAATCGACGTCCGGAAACAACCTAATGTACCCAGCGAAGCGCACGCCGATTAACGAAGCCGACCAAGGACTGCTCCGGCACATTGGTGTGCCAATGTCTCGTAAACTCGTGCAGATTTCATCTGTCGGCTTGTGTGGGTGGGCGTTCTCTCATTGTCCGATGCTCCTAATGCTTGCTGCTCCCAGAACTTGCTGACGCTGCAGCTTGCTCCGGTTAAATTGCGTTTAAAGTGCAAACTGCTGCTACTTGCTCATGATGGTTCCAAAGCAGGGCTGCTACTGCTGACTGATCGTGGCTGCTGCTGACTCTGCGGTTACTTGGTTTCGCTGCGACCACTGCTGCCGGAGGGCCTCGATGCACTTTTGGAAGTTTGGGGGGGGCAGCTCGGCCGTCTTGAAGCTCTCGGGCCAAGTCCCGCCAACTAGAACACTCATGATAACCCTCTTGAACTGTCGGGGGGTCACTCGGACGATCCGTGAAGCGTTTCCGGGACCACCTCCGATGGATAAAAACATGGAGAACCCATTGAATGAGCAAGTAAGAAGCAGGTCGCTGGGGGGTGGTAGGCGCACTAGGCGTTTTTCGATGTCAGGAATCAGCGGTTGTCTGTTTTGCAGCCGCGAAAAACAGCGCACTCGTTTTTTGCTTCCGAACATCCACAAAAACGATCGACCACGACGTAGCAAGCATGATATTCCACGCCTGAAATCTAGCAAAAAAGCGCACATGTCGAACACGGCGAGAAAACCAAATCTCGCCCGCGCACGACACGCGAGTGACAGACCGCATCTGGCGAACCAACTTATGAGCGAAAACAGCCGCAGACGGCGATCGCGCATGAAGTCCTTCATGATTTTGTACCACACAGAAAAACAGCACCCGAACAACACCTGAGACACTGAGAAACCCAATGTCCCGATATCCAGATGCCAAGAACATCTGTGGAATGTCATGCTTGCTACGTCGTGGACAATCGTTTTTGTTGGTGTTCGGAAGAAGCGGCAAAACCGAAAACCGCTGATTCCTGACATCAAAAAACGCCTAGCGCGCCTACCGCCAGCCTGGCGGAGGGCACTAACACAAGGAGGAGGAGGAGGAGAGGAGGAGGCAGGAGGGAGGAGGAGGAGGAGGAAAAGGAGGAGGAGGAAGAGGAAAACGAGGAGGAGGAAAAGGAGGAGGAGGAGGAGGAGGAGCCGTCGGACCCTGGCGAGTCGCCCCAAGCACGCGGAGTGAGGCGGGGGCCCGCGGGCGAGGCGCGATCGCGCGCTTGCGCGCCGTCTGGGGCCCGCGGGGGCCCCGAACGGCGCGAGCGCGCGCTCGGCGCCTCACTCGGCGCGCGAACTCGCCATCGCGGCTCTCCGCGCGCCCCGCCGCCTCCCCCGGCTACCCCCCGGCTACCCCCGGCTACCCCCGGCTGCCCCCCCGGCTGCCCCCCCGGCTACCCCTCAGTCTCCAGTCTGCGGCTGGGGCGGGCGGCCCCCCGCTGTACCCCCGGCTACCCTCCGGCTACCCCCCGCCCTTCAGCGCTCGCCGCCGCGCCGCGCGCCGAGAGCCTACGACGCGGCGGTGGTCGCGGCGGAGGGGGCCTAGGACGGCGGAGGGCCGCCGCGGCCGCCGCGGCCGCCGCCGCGCTCTCTGGAGGGCTCGGAGGGTTCCGGAAACTTTCGCAATGCCTCGGGGTGCCTCGGAAACTTTCGGAAGGCCTTGGCAATCTTCGGAAGGCATCGAAAACCTTTCGGAAGGCCTCGGGGGGCTTCGGAAACCTTCGGAAGGCATCGGAAATCCTTCGGAAGGCTTTGGGGGACCTCGGAAACTTGTCGGAGGGCTTCGGAAATCCTCAAAACGAGCTCGGAAGGCCGCGCGCGACTGCCGACGCGACCGCGCGCTCCCCTTCCGCCGAAACCGCACTCCCCTCCCACCGCCCCCCTACAACCCACTGCACCAGAAAATGGGAAAGGGCTGTAACATATTGCACACAAAATGCAACATGTTGATAATAAGGCTGTTTGTTTTATGAAAATGTGCGATTTGTTATTGACAAATACGGAAAATATGCAAGAACGTCACAACATGTAGCAAAGGCAAATCCACACGATACAGAAACAAGCTCAGACCCCTGGGGACACCCAGAGACCAGAAGGGAGACACCAACGATCCTCCTCGGTCATCTTACACCCGTGGAGCTGCAATCCCTGACATCAAACATTTTGGGTCTGCGGGGCGAGAGCGAACCTCTTCCGCTAAAAGCTAGGCGGGCAACGCACAGCTCCCTGACATCAAACACGCGAAGTTTGGAACGTGTTTCTTTCAGGCGGCATTTGCTGTGTTGGGTCTCTCTCGGGGACTCTCCGGGCATCTCGTGGAGCCTCTCGCCCGCCTCGCCGAGTGCCGCAGGGCCTTGCGCACTCTTGGGGCACCTCGGAGGCCTCCCGGACAGTGTTCGGCTGCTCCTGGAGCCCCCTGGGGCTGTCTCCAGGTGGTCTGGAGCCACATGCGAACCCTACCCCTACCCCCCACGAGTTCTGAGGGGGAGGGTGGGGTTCGCTTCGCTCGTCGGCTCCCGAAGTGAACCCCACCCTCCCCCTCAGAAATCGCGGGGGGTAGGGGTAGGGTTCGCATGTGGCCCCCGAGGGTGGTCTTGGGCCACATCTCGGGTGGCAGGAGATCTCTCAGACCCAGCGGAGCTGTCATGGCAGCGCCTTGAGCCGAAACACGTATAAGACAGTATGGTGCTCGGTGTGTGTTTCCGTCTTGGGCGTATCTTCAAAGATCTTCGAAAGACTCTCAGACGGTCCATGGAGAGTCACAGGGCGTTGCGGGCTTTCTCTGGAGCCCTCTGGGGCTGGACGAAAAGGTTCTACAGACCCTGTAGAGGCTCCTGGGGACCTCTGGGGGCCGAGAACCCCATAGATGCATGGGCAATTCCCGCACGCAAGAAGCCGAGAAATGCACAGATGATATAACGTTGGGCTGCAGCTTCGAATCCGATATCTGGCTGAGCAACACCTTAGCCCTCTGCCACTGCCCGCCTTTCCCGCACGCGGTGATCCCAGTGTTATAGCTAACAACGTTGGGTTCCACCTTCGCCTGCCGCATATCGTCAAACACCGCCAACACCTGCTGCCATTGCCCATGCTTACCGCAGGCGCTCATCGCAGCGCTGTAACTGATGACGTTGGGCTCCACCTTCACTTCCAACATGTCGCCGAACAGCAACACCACCTGCTGCCACTGTGAGCATTCTTGACACGCGCTGGCCCCGGCGTTGTAGCTGAGTAGCTCTGGCCCGTGGAATGAGGCCCACGATTGGGAATGCGTATGGGAAACGCAAGTGCGATCACGGCATGGCCCAGCGGACACTGCCTGGCACGGCCCAGCATAATATGTGCGAAGCCAGGCTGTGCTCGACACTGCGAGGCGGACGCAATGCAGCACGGCACGGCACTACCACCTCACCCGAATGAACGTGCAAGGTCGCGGCACGGCGTGGCAGACACAACACATACATGCACTTCAAGCTTACTTAGAGGAGAAGCTTGTTCGGGGCATCCGTTTCGGCGTAGCCCATTGGCTTTCTGACGCGTGCTCCCACTATGTAGCTGCAGATTGCTGCCGCTTCCATTGGCTTGTTGAAGCTCTCTGAACCATACTGCTGCCTGTGACTGCCTGAAACAACTTGCTCCTGATTGCTGTTGTGGCTAATTGCTGTTGCTGGTTGCTGACTGCTGGCTCAAATAGTGCTGCTGCTGGCGTTGCTGCTGGGTTTCAGGTCACCGCCTTTGGCAATATGAGGCTGTCCTGAGACAGTCCAGGTGCCTGGCTGGATAGAACCCAGGTCCACATCCACGTTCGCTTCGGAACGTTCGGATGTCATCTTGAATGCTTCTCGGGGCACTCTGAAGCTCTACGTAGCACGAGGGGGTGGCGGGACGTCGGCAGCCTGCGAGGCTCTGGAAAAGCCCGCCGCAGGCGCCTAATTCTTGAAAACGAACTCACCGTAGGCGCCGACGTTTTCGTTGAAGCAATGTGGGTGGGTCGCGGGGTGAGCCGCGGGTGAGTCGCGGGTCGGTCGCGGGCGGGTCGCGGTGTGGGTCGTGGTGTGGGTCGCGGGTGAAGTCGCGGGTGGGTCGCGGGTGGGTCGTGGGGTGAATCGCGGGTGGGTCGCGGGCCAGGTCGCGGGCCAGGTCGCGGGTGGGTCGCGGGTGGGTCGCGAGCGGGTCGTGGGGTGGGTTGCGGGTTCGTCGCGTTGTGGGCCGGGTCGCGGGTGGTTCGCGGATGGGTCACGAATGGGTCGAGGGAGGGCCGGGTCCCGGCGGGGACGGCGACAACAAACATCAAACAACAAACAATTGACAACAAACACCACACAACACACAACAAACAACAAATCTCAAACAACAAACATTCCTATCTAAAAGGCGTGGCCTGCCCAGGGGTCGCGGGGGCGGGCGGCGCTTTGGACCCAGGCACATTTTACAAAACGACCCTGAGCTGCAAGCGCCGTGGCACCCACGGATGGTTCTCAACAAAAAACGCCCCTTGGCCGGATACCGCATCAAAAACATCTACAACAGTCATACAAAACAAAACTCGTGGTGCGTGGGGGAAGCGGGCGGGAGCTTGAAGCCAAGACGTCACCGCGATAATGAAATCGTAGCAATACGAAGCGACGATCGGACACATTCGAAACCACTCGGTTGCAGGAAAACGAATCAGACACAATTCGTTCCTACCTAGGAGGGCGTGGCCTCCCCAGGGGTCGCGGGGGCGGGCGACAGCACTTTGGATTCAGGCACATGTTTCACAACGACCCTGAATTGCAAGCGCCGTGGCATCCACGGATGGTTCTCAACAAAAGACGGCCCATGGCCAGATAGTGCACCAAAAACCTCCACAGACGTTACACAACACAAAACTCGTGCCCCACCCTCATATACAAATGCTCTAGGGAGGGCGGACGGGTAAAAACAGCCATGCAGCGACAGGGCCGAACGTGGCTGCACAGCACTGGTTGGATGAAAACTACGCGCGCACACGACGAATGATATAACGAGCACGGCTTTCGATGAAAAGGCGGGCACGCTCGATTTATTCGGAGGTGGGCTTTGAGCGCTGGCGCAATGCATAGCCGTGCTTCTCATAGATTCGAACATTCTCCTTCGCTCGCCACCGGCCTCTGTGCTGGATGGCCTCGATGGGCCGCGCGCCGTTCAAAGCGTCGTGCGAAGGTCCTCCGCGGCGCAGCTGGCGAGGCACGGACAGAAGGTCGCCCGCGCCTATAGAGTCGGCCGCTGCTTGCAGCATCTTCTCTTGCTGGGGTAAACAGACAGGGCGAAAAAGGAAGGCAGAGAAACACGACGAGTACGGTGCCTCAACCTTAACAGAATCTCGGGGACGAGCCTGCGGAGCGGCAGCGCTGTCCCCGCCTTCACAACACAGTACAAGTCTCTGTTCTTAGCAAACTCCCCATTCACCCAAAGGCGCAGAAACGACCGTGATATCCGCTGCGGCTCCTGATGCGCGGGAGCCAAAAACATGTTCCGGCTTGATAGCGAGCAGCTCGCCAAGCCGAGAGTACATGTCAAACTGGTCTAAAGTGCCGAACGCCACCAGCAAGTCGGTGCTGGTCCTGTTGTCAAGCGTCAAGCATGTGAGTTGCACTGCTTCAAAAGGAGGCGGGCCACGAAAGGGGTGGCGGCAGCTTAGCGGACCAGCCCGCGAGGGCGTCCTTGGCCTCCTGACAGTTGGGCCTCGCTGCCGCCCAGCCCCGCTCTTTGCGGAAACCGCAGAACGCCATCCTTCCCACGCACTGCGGTCCACCCGCGAAGAACAGATCCTCAAAGTACAGGTTGAGAGTCTCGTCGGACGATTCGGGCGTGTCGAGCGACAGCCCCTGCCGCTCGGCATACTCGGCGAGCTCGACGACAGCGGAGCGGTAGCTGGACAGCGCGGCAGGCCGCGGGCTGCCAAGGCGCAGGTAATCGCCCAGCGCCACGTCGCGCCGGCCGGCGGCCTGACCCCCGCGGCCAGCAGCCTCCGCCCGCCGCCGTCTGTCCGCAACGGCCAAAAGGCGAGGCACGGGCACCCCAGCCCGCCCTGCGCTGCGGCCGGCGCGGGCACCCCTCATTACCTTGATTTGAACGTATTTTCTGAGCTTTGGTATTTCGATGTGGTCGGCAATCGGTTTCAATAAAAACAAATGTGGTTGTTTATATTTGGATAGCAGGTAAAATTAAGTTAAGTGCTCGGGACCCCCCTGAAACTTAACTGGCCGCCGAGAGGCACCGAGCTCTCCTCATCACGTTCCCTTTTCCCCATCCTTCTCTACTTCCCATATCAACACATCATTCATTAACGTGGCGATGATTGCGATAATGCAGCGTCGAGGTTCTTGGGGCAAGGAGAAGACAGTCCAGCGTCGAGTGCGCTACGCTTCCAAGTGCGACGCCGCATCGATACCGCAAGCCTGCAATGCATGCGCGTCGCCCGAGGGGTCCTTTTTGAGGCCCCGGGCGATTGCATCCCCCCCCCCCCAGCGCGTGCCCGAGCACGCGCATGCGTGATAAGCAGTAGCATCGCATATCATCTCACAATATATCATAACATTCAGGTTCAAATCGCCATGGAGGAGGAACCTCCCCCCCCCCCGGGTGCCATCATGGGCTCGTTATACATATGATCATGGGATCCCTCAGGGGGACCTAACACCCCCCGAACGCCTTAGGTTTGCACAATGGGATCGTACTGCGTACAACAGGGGGCAATGGGTGAAGTTGGCGAGAATCTATTTTCGTTTGGATTTCGACCCGAAGATCGACACAGACATGTTAGCAAATATGGTCCACGCCTACTGCAGCGATTGGGACAAGCAGAACAAAGGGGTGCAAACGTGGTGAGGAAGGTTCACGGGGAGGGGGGAAAGGGTTGCCGCATCGCACGATTCCATTGGCTGCTTCGGCCATGCCCGCGCGCCCGCCTGCCGCAGTGACCAGCGGTTTTACTTCTCACGAACTGCGGGGCGGGTCGTTTGTTTCACTTCCACGTGCATCAGAGACTTGTGCGCGATTGTGTTCTCTGCTTCGAATAGATGCCTCATTGAGTCCCAACGACAGCGGAGACGGGGGGCTCAAGAGCTTTTGCCCGAGGCCCTCGGAGTCCTTTATCAGCGGAGGTAGCCTGGCATTGCAGACGCAGCTGGCGGACTGGGCAGCGAGAGTGATCATAGCCCAGCCGCCGCGTAACGTTTCGAGGACTGCATGACACGTTCCTCGTCAAAACGACGAAGCGGAGGCTGGAGGAAGGAAAGAAGGATTGAGAGGAGGAGGAGGAGGGAAGTGGAGGAGGATACATATGTTGTCCAAACCTATCTCGGCCGAAGCAGCCGATTAGCGGCGCAGTCAGCTACTGCCTGGCGCCGCGGCGGGCTCCGCCTCAGAGGCGCCGTGGGCGTCGGCGTCGGCGTCGGCATCGTCGACCCACGGGCCCAACGCATCTGCGGCGTCATCGGGATCTTCCGCAATCCCCCGAAGAAGCTTGATCTGGATCAACATCGCCGCGATGTGGTCCAATCGGGCAGCTAGCCCCCTGATCAGCCTGGCCCGCAACCGATAAGCCGAGGGCAGCAAAATGCGGAGCGGAGCAGCATAACGCAGATCACCATACCCAAGCAAGCCATTCTTGGCAATGGAGATCATATTCTGGTGCGCAGCCAACATCTGCCCCATCATCTTGGCCACGGCACCAATCCCGCTCATGTGGCTGACCGTGTCCTTCGCCACCGCATGCGCCTTGTCGGCTTCCCGGTGGATCTTCATGGCTTGAGCCGCGTCCTCGTCGGAAAGCGTCGGGCCACCCGGCCCCCTCGGCGTCAATGTCGGGCGGGAGGTGCAGGGCCCGCCGCGGGGCCCGACCACGCGGTATCGAACGCCATTTGCGCCGCGCATTATGCCCCAGTCATGGGGCGGCCCGTTCATGCAATTAAACACAAGTGGGGCCCGTTCAAATTGAGCAAGAAACTGGCTACGGAGGAGGAGAAGGAGGATGAGAGCGGCGTGGCCGAAGCAGCCAATGGCCCGCCCACGCCCGAGCGGGGGTGGCCCGGGGCGCGTTGGAGCAGGGGGTGCTGATGAGGAGGAGGGCCCATTCAAAGCAGGAGGAGGAGGGCCCTTTCAAGCTAAACCCATAATGGGTAATGTTTGGGCCTCCTTCATGAACCTATAATGGGTCATTTTCGGGCCTCCATGCTGAGCCTATCATGGCTGAACATATAACATGGGTCC